CAGCCTGCCCAGCTTCTCCCCGAGGCTCCTCAAGGGCATCAGGCTGCCCTGACCTTAGGTGTTCTGTCCGCACCACCCGGCTGCAAACCTCTCACAGGTGACACCTTTGGCTCCTTGTCTCTGAAACCCCGCTCAGTCAATAGCTCAGGGCTCAGCCCTCGTCGTACCCAACCCAGCTTCCTGAAGACACTCTCTGCTTCGGCCTCTGGGACAGCACATGCGTCCGATTTTCCCTCTGCCTCTCCATCTCCTGACCCTCTTCCCACTCCCTGAAACCTGGAGTTCGTAGGGTGGGACGTGGCCTCCTCCCCCATGAGCCCCCTGCTCCCACGTCTGTCTCACACACCTCCACAGCCTCAGTTTCCCTTTTCTGCTCTGCAGCCTCATAGATGCCTCTCCCTGGAATCCTCTGGGCCCTTCGCATTCCCCAGGTCCTGTACTGGCCTCAATGTCCGCCCCCCCGAATCCCCAGATTCCATCTCAGAGGCCCTCATCCTCTGGACTATTCCCCCCTCTGCAGGACACCTCCCCACAACCACAGCTTGCCAGCCCCCCCAACCTGCAGGCCTCCTGAGCACCTCCTGTCCACCCTCTCCTTGCCCACACCCAGCCCCACCCAAGCCCAGGACTCAGCCTCCCCTCTGGTCCAGCCTCCACAGGGAAGCTTGAGGATCTTCCTAAATACCAAATCGACCCTGTTCCTTCTTTACCTAGACCCCTCCATGACTCCCGGTGTCCCCAAGACAAGAGTCTAAGGCCCCCAGCCCTGGGGTGTCAGTCTTTCTAGGATATAAGCAGGGCCGTTAGAGACCTGGGGGTTGGACCTATGTTTCCCTGAACTCCCAGACAGCCTTGCGGGTCCCGATCAGACACCTGATGGAGCTTCCAAAAAGCAACCCAAACCACCACCGGACTTGTAAACCACCAGTCAGAACCAGAGAAACAAAGAATGACCACCATCGCCACCTGGTGGAGACACCCGGCACGGCCAGGGCATCACAGGCCCGCCTCCAAAAACAGTCCTGGACGCCCTGCTCCCCTGGGCACTCTCAGCATCCCACAGGACCCCCAGGAACACCCGCAGTATCGCGGGCCTCTGCACATCTGGCAGCCCTGCTTTACGCACGCTCTTCCCTCTGCCTGGCACACCCGTTCCCTGCTCACCTTGAGTGCCAACCCAGGGGTCACCCCCTCTGATCCCAAGTCCCCAGGGAGCACCAAGAACCTTGCCCTGGGCACACTTCAAAGCCACCACTAACGGCAGCCGCGGCTCTCAGAATCGGGTCCTTCCCAGCCCGGCCCTGGCCCCGTCCTGCACTTTCCTCCGTCCTTGCACCGGGGGGGTGACAAGGAAGGTAACGTTGTGGCCATCCTCGGTTTACCGCGGAGGAGAGGAGGCCCAGAGAGGGGCCGCCGCCTGCCCCGGGTCACCCGGCAAGTTGGCACAGCACCAGAAGCTTTCGGCATCTGGGTCCAGGTTTGATCGCTGGCTCCAGCCCCGGGAAGCAGGACGCGGCCAGAGAACCGGGCCGAGCCGCCTGGGGATGCGGGGCACCCCACTCGGCCTCATTCTCTCCGCACCCAGACCAGCTCTGGCCATCCTTCGGGGCATGACCCGCTTTTCTCCCTGGTTCATTCGCGCGTGGCCCCCAGCCGCGGAGGCTTCCCTCAGTCCGCTCCAGGAGGAAAATCGTCCATCCCTAAGTTTCCAGGCTCTGCACCCACCTGCTCGGCAAGGGCAGTGCTGGCTCCTGAGCCACGGGGGCAGGCGGGGGCGGGGTGCTGGGTTTGCTCTGGGCCAAGGCTGGGCTTGCTAACTGCTGAGACCCCAGGGGGCCAGTCATCCCCACTGATCTTTCCAGCCAAACACCCAGCTCTCCCTGCCAACCATGCCCTTTAAATCCTCAGCCACCCGAGGTGCGCATTCACCCCACCTCCGTCTTACAGACGAAAACTTGAGGCCCAGAGAGGGGAAGCTGCTTGCCCAGGGCTGCCCAGCTCGACACTGCTACCACCTGGAACTGAACCCAGCTAGCCTGGTTCCAGGAAGAAGAGAGGGAGCCAGCCCCCGCTGGAGAGGGCAGGAGGGAAAGGCTGCCCCCCGCTCAGGCCCCTCCAGCTGGCTCCCAGGGAGCCCCTACCAGGGCCTGCCCAGAGCCCTTCCGTGCCAGCCACTCGGGCGGGGGCTTTCTCTCCTTGTTCCTGGAGTGGTTTCTCTGCGGTCTCTCCTCTCTCCATCCATCCTGGCCGAGTCCAAAGTCCTCCCTCTGCTCTTTTGCCCACAGTGTGGAGAGGTGGGAGGAGGGTCTAGGATCGGTGGGGGTCTTGGGGCCCCTAGACACCAAGCTGGCCGACCTCTGTCATGACAGCTCTGGTTCACAGCGTGGGTTTTACATGCTAAGCCCCACACTGGTGCCCTGTGTGCGTTCTGTGCTCCCAGCAACCCCTGTCAGTAGCTAGGCAGGTAGCATGAGGACCCATGCTGGACCCCGGGGGGGGGGGGGACTGAAGCCCAGAGAAAGGATGTCACTTATACAAGATCACACAGCCAAAAAGTGGCAGAAGCAGATTCAAATACAGGCCTGTGCGTTCGGCTCGAGTCTGTGTCCAGAACCGTGATCGCTGGTCTTCCCACCTTAGCTCCAGGTGGGGGACAGGGTTAGCTGAGGAGTCACTGGGTGTGAGGGGAAACTGAGGCAAGGAGCCAGGAAGGTCATACAGGATAGCAGAAAGGCAGGTGGTGGCACAGCCCCACAGAAGATTTGGTTAATAGTTAATCAGGCAGAGGAGACTGTAGAAGGGGGTGGGGATGGCCCCGGAGGGGTGCCAGAGAGAGGGGGCTCTGAGGGGGCAGAGAGCTGGGAGCAGAGCACAGAGGGAGGGGCGCCAGGCAGAGCCCAATTCGGGACTCAGGGGAAAGAAGCTGAAAAAAACCTCAGCTTTAGGTAATTGAAAATAAAATCGCTCTGTTACAAAAGAGCAATAGCGATCGTCATTCTGCGCGAAGGCGATTATTCTCGGGGCGCCAATCGTTCGTCCTAAACTACTAGGGGACTCACCCTCCTTCTCCGCCATGTCACGGCCTCTTGTTAATGATTCCCCGGCTGACCTCCCGGGCCGGGGTGGGACCTGTGGGGAGACGGACAGAGAGGCAGGGCCTGGGGGAGCTGAGCCCAGCCCCGGTGCCCCCCGGCCCCGGCGCCCATCCAGGGAGGCTGCAGGGACTGGGCCCCGGCCAGAGCACGCCGTGATCACGGATGCAGACCGGGCTGGGTTCAAGGATGGGGTCAGTGTCCGACCAGCAGCCAGGGGAATGCCTCGATTTGCAGCGTGGGGGGCCCCCTGCCTGGGCCTGGGGAGCAGAGAGATCCCGGCCGGCTGGGACCCCTGGGGACAGAGGGATCTGGGGGCTCCAACCCCTGGGTGTGTGGGAGGAGGGGCGGAGGGGCCCAGAGTCTGGGGTCTGAGGGGGGAGGAGACCCAATCTCTGAGTCTGAGGCAGGGGGGCTGGAACTCCCAGGTCCTGGGGGACAGAGGTGGAGAGCCCCCCTCCTGGGTCTCGGGGAAGCCCTCTCTGGGGAGCTGGGCATTAGGTGGGGTGGGGGTGACGGGACCCTTGCCCTGGGCCTGGAAGGCAGGGCCCGGTGCTTACCCTGGGGTCCGGCAGGTGGGGGCGGAGCTGAGAGATAGTGCCCTCTCCGGGTCAGTCTCCAGGCCTGGGCGGGAGCATGGTGGCCCCGCGGCGGTGGCCCGGAGGCAGAGGCGGCGGCGTGGGGCCTGCTAGGCCTGGCGGCCTCACCTGAGGAGGAGGGGGCCGGGCGGAGGCGGGGAAGGGGCGGGGAGGGGCAGGGCCAGGGCCGGGGCGCCGGAGGCCACCTGGCTGGCGGGGCGGGATCGCGGGCGGGAGGGGGCCCAGGTGTGCGCAGGGTGGGTCTGGGCAGACCGCGCAGCCCGGGGGAGCTCGCAGCACCCAAGGGCGGGCCTTCGAGTTGCAGGGAGTCGGGGACGGGCCGCCCCACGCCGCACCCCCACCCGGCCCAGCTCAGGCCCGACCCCCTCCCTGTGCCCCGGGCCCCTCGGACACCCTGCCCGGTACCACCGCCCCTGCCATTTCCCGCCGCCCCGGCCAGCTCGCGAGCGAGGCGGTCCCGACCCGCCGGGCCCTGGCCCCGGACCCCCCTCCCCCAGCTCCGGCCCAGCCTCTGCCCCTTCCCCTCCCCCAGCTGCCTTCCTACAAGTCACGGGGGCTGGTTTGCTTTGGCAGCGACTGGCCACAGCGGTGACCTCTGGAGCCTGGAAGCCGCACACGGGGAGGGGGGGCGGGGGGGGGGCTTGGCCCGGAAAAGGCAGCAGGGCAGGCAGCAGGGCGTGCTGAGGTCCAGGCCAAGGGGCCGGAAGCGGCCGGGCAGATACACGCTGTCCCGCCAGCAGCCCGGAGGGATCCACGTCAGACCCCAGGGCCAGATAAACACCCAGACACACAAGGGTCACCGCCAGACACCCGCTGGTGGACAGCCACGCACCCAAACACAGACCACAGCTGCTCGCCCCACGCAGAGCCACAGCCTCCTGCAAGGGGTCATGTGGGGGGGCTCCTCTCCCCCCCCAAGATGTATCTTCGTCTCCTTCCCTCCCCCTCCCCAGCCCCCAGGGCAGCAGAGAGCCACCCTGCTAGGAACACGCAGACCACCCAAACTCCTGCCTTCCCTCCACAGGCCCTTCCCTGCCCTGCCACCCCCAGCTACCCCCAGGGCTCCCCTCTGGCCCCCTCCCACCCTCCCACACCCCGCATGGTCCCCACTGAGCTAATGACTCCCCCATTCCCCACCAATCAAGTGCTAAGAGGCTGCGCCCTGAGGAGGGTGAGACTCACCCACCTGTTCCTTCTCCATCCTTTTCTCTGAACCTGGGCAGAGACCCGGAGGACGGTCCCCGGGAACACAGAGGCTTTTGGATTTGGGGGCGTAGCGGGTGACAGGGCTCATGAGAGAGACTATGAGTCAAGTCCAAGAATCTTTATTTCATGAACAAAACTACTTGTGTGAAGAGAGAAGAGGCTGAATGGGCCCTTCTAAGTGGCCACAGTCCAAGGCTGGTGAGAGAGGGCAGGGTTGGGCTGGGGCAAGAGTGCATCACAGGGAGGGGGACCCCAGGTCCAGCCAGAGGAAGGAGGGCAAATGTTGCTGGGGGTCGGAGTGGGTCCCAGAACCCCCTGCCCCAAACTGTGCCAGCCCATCACGACCCCTGCCGGGCAGGGGAAGGGGGCAGGGGGAGGCCGGGCCCCAGTAGTGTGCATCTGAAGCGGCCGATGTGTGCAAATCAGCAAGAAGGAGGGGTGCGGAGCCGCTGCCCCCACCTCACCGCCCCCCCTCCTGAACAGGCAGCAGAAGCAGGGGCGGGGGCAGCGGCAATATTGCTTTACCCATCATGCATGGCGTGGGTGGGCAATGGGGCAGGAGGAAGTAGGCCAGATTGGGGGTGTGAGCCAAGCCCCCTGTCCCTCCCACCCCAGGCGGTTCCGCTGGCAGGACTCTGAGGCTCGTAGAGGCCCAGGAATGGCCAACCCCCATTGGGGGCAGGCCGTGCCCAGATGTTCCCCATTAGGGCTGGCTCTTCCTTGAGGTGGAGCCCAGGGCCTAAAGGTGAGGGAGAGACAGGTATCAGGGACCCAGTGGGCTGACACCCGCCCAGGCCCTCCGGCGCTGCCCACCCACCTACCTTACCAGGACTATTCGGCCACCTGGACGCCCGTACAGTTCTCCTTGCTTTCTGAGGTGATGGCCAGGTATTCCGAGCTGTGGGGGCAAAGGCCGGGTGTACAGTGACCCTCCTCAGCAGTCTGGCCCACCCCCAGGAACCTGACAGGGCTGGGGTCTCTGCCCCAGACGCATGGCGTTCTGGAGTTAGAGAGAGGAGGGGACTGCAGGCCGGACTCCTAGGGATCCACAAGGAGTCCAGGCTGGGGCCTGGAGCCCTGAGTGTGAGGGAGGAGGGGACTGGGGTGGGGGGCTCAGACTCTGGGTCCTAACCTTACCCACCCAGGATAACAAACATAGCCCTCTGGGAAGCCTGGGTGTCTAGGTCACCTGACCCCCTCCCCACCGGCCCCACTCACGCATTCTCTTGTGCGGCAGCCTCCGTGGCCGCAGCGATCTTCTTGTAGCAGTAAACCATCTCTGCCACGAGCCATATGGTCAACACCACGATGAGCACATACATCATGATCTCCGACACGATGGACGCCATGTCTCTGTTGGCTGCAAGGGCCAGGCAGGGTTAGGTGGCAATCAGGGCCAGGAGCAGGCGGCGTGAGGTGCCCCGAACTTGCTGTGGGAGCTTGGCCGAGTGGCCTGGCCTCTCTGGGCCTGGTCTGCGAATAGGACCATGCTGCTTCCCCAGAGTCATTGGATTGTTACTGTGATTCTTTTTTTTTTTTCTAAGTAGGCTCCACACCCAGCGTGGAGCCCAGTACAGGACCTGAACCCAGGACTCTGAGATCAAGACCTGAGCTGAGATCAAGAGTGGGACGCTTAACCGACCAAGCCATGCAGGCAGGCGCCCCATTACTGTGATTCTTATAACCAGCCTCCAGTGGGCATTGGGACCCCCCTCGACCTGCCTCCCTATGTGGCTTGAGGGGGCATCTGTGCCATTCAGCTGGCTGGAGGCGCCCAAGAGCTGTAGCTTTGCAACCAGAAGGCTCGGGTTCAGATCCCGACTCTGCCACTTGCAGGCTGGGTAACCTTGGGCAAGTGACTCACCCTCTCTGGGTTTGAGTTTTCACCATCTGTGAAAAGCTGATAACCACAGCATCTCCTGGGGAGTGTTGTGACAATTAAATACACTTCAAAAATCCTTAGAATGGTGTTTGGCATATAGATAGCGCTCAATAAATTATTGATACTACTATTAATATCAGTAGTATGGTTACTGCTATTATTGGAGCAGTACAGCATAGTAGTTAAGAGCAGGGGACTCTGGGGGCTGGATTCAAATCCTGACTCTGCCTCTTATTAGCTGTGTGACTTTAGGCAAATGACTCCACCTCTCTGAGCCTTAATTCCCCCTCTATAGAATGGAGATGATAACACCCATGCCTCCTCACAGGGCTGCTGGGAAGAGTGAACAAGCTAATATCCTGAACACGGGGACGCCTGGGTGGCTCAGTGGCTGAGCATCTGACTTCGGCTCAGGTCATGACCCCGGGGTCCTGGGATCAAGTCCCACATCAGGCTCCCACGGGGAGCCTGCTTCTCCCTCTGCCTGCGTCTCTGCCTCTCTCTCTATCTCTCATGAATAAAATAAACTAAATCTTTAAAAAAATATCCTTAACACGCATGGATGTGCTCGCAGTTGGCACTGCCTAAGTACTGGCTATTTCACTGACGTTTTCCGGAAACCTTCTATCCTTTCCACGGCACTAGGCTCCTGCCGTTGCCAGCTTCCTCTCACTGCACCTAAATTTAAACTGTGAAGGGGATGAGCTCAGCCAAGGAACCAGAGGCAAAGGCCACCGGGGCGTCCTAGGCCGGATTTCACAGGTGTCCACTCCGTATTCCTCCGTGTTACCTTCCCCCACTGTCCTCACATGGTCTTGGGCACCCTCTGCTGCCCTACGCCGTGCAGATGGCACCGGTGCTTTCTGGGCCAGGGTGAGGGAGGGTGCAGGGCTGGATGCTTCTCCCCTGCTTCTCTGCCCGGAGGAGCTAGAGAGAGGGCTCCACACATCATTCATTCCCCGGTTCATTCATTCATTCATTCATCCAAAAGATAGGAGTCTCATACGGAGGATGCGTGCTTTCAGCCAGGCTCTCTGCTAAATTCTGTACGTGAGCATCGCCCTGAGTCTCCGAAACAGCCCCGAGGAGAGAGTCCCGGCTTCCCGCGTCAGCTGACCTCAGGAATCACACGGAGTTGGATTTATGTTGGATAAAGCTCCCCTCTTCAGAATTCTCAGCCCTGCTCCAGGAACTCAGTGCTCAAACGGATTTAGGGAATCTGCTATCCTCGGCCCTCCCAGTCAGATTAGGACGGTGACCCGCAGGGCTCTGTAGCCCATTGTCCAGACAAGGACACCGAGGATCAGAAAGGGGCCGGTGCTGGGCAAGGATGCACAGCCAGGATCGGACTCGGAGCCAGGATTCAACCCCAAGTGTAACTGGCTGCAGGGTCTGAGCTCTCACCTGCTCCAGAAACTACCCCAGCCAAAGACACCCTCGGTCAAGGGTGCCCTATGTCAAACGCAGTCTCCACCAAGCCACACAGACACCTCAGGAGGCGGGGCTGTCTTTGCCCCACTTCACTGACGAGGAACTGAGGCAGAGGGGTCACGCAGAGGGTACCAGGCACCTCCTCCAGAGAGAACTTTGATTTCTTCAACAGCCCCCAAGTCTTCCAAAAGCTGGCAGCCCCCAGGTGTGAAGCCGCAGCCTGCCCCCCGTGCAGGATTTCTCACTGGCCTCGGATGCTGCTTCACCTCAAGACGTTCCCCACCCATAGTACAGGCATGCAACGTGGAAGCAGCCCTCTCGTCCCCATCCGCCGGCTCCACTACGCTGGGGGGCCCTAGGTGCTTCTACCATCTTCCGCAGCTCTGCTGCCTCGGTAAAGGGCTCACCACCAACACCCACTGGCCCTCCTCTGGAAATGACACCATTCATTCCTTGGGGTTATTACCAGGAGGCAATATAGGCTGATGGGTAATGCCGAGGATGCAGGGAGAGAGTGGATAATAATAATAATAAAAATAATAATAATAATAATAACAATAATAATAAAAGAATACGACAGGCTGGCAATGCTAACAGTACAACCATACCAGAGGGAATGAAAGAAATACTGTGGTGGGATGAGTACGCTGGCTGATGATGAATATAGTATAACCAGTAAAACTTTTAACTACTAGAATATAATCAATCTAAAATACTATAGCATGGTGGGTAATGTTAAAAAAAAACCTGTAGTATGATGGATTATCATAAAAATACTATCGTATGTTTGGTAGTGTTAAATCAGATAGTATACAGTAATATAAAATACTGTACCAGGGCGGATAAAAAACCACTAGAGGGGATCCCTGGGTGGCTCAGTGGTTTAGCACCTGCCTTCGGCCCAGGGTGTGATCCTGGAGTCCCGGGATCGAGTCCCACATCGGGCTCTCGCATGGAGCCTGCTTCTCCCTCTGTCTGTGTCTCTGCCTCTCTCCGTGTGTCTATTATGAATAAATAAATAAAATCTTAAAAAAAAACACTAGAGTATGTTGGATACTCCCCTAGACCCTGGGAAGACGACGGAAAGAGCTCTCTGCCCTTGGTCAACGTGAAGAACACGGGCGCGGGCAGGTAACAGAATATGGGAGATGGTGTTTAACGGAGGCTCTGCTGGGTCCTGGGCGAGCCTGAGCCCCAGCCTCCGCCCCGCAGAGGGGGACAGCTACCCAAGCGAGGGACACACGGAAGGAACCTGGCAGGCCCCCTGCGCTCCTGACCCCTCCCCGGGGCACTGATCCCGGAGGCAGGATTGACGCAGATTTCGTTAAACCACTGCACTTGGGGGCGCTTCTTGTCACAGGCACGCCCATGGGCAGGGCTCCCTCTTCCACATCCACGGGTGGCCGCCCACCCGGCATCGTGACCTACACCAAAGCGTAGCTCAGACGTGTCTCCTGCACTGAACCCTGCTGGATCAACTTCGATAACAAACGTAAAAAATGCTAATTATCAAGAGAAACCCACAGGCTCTGGCTGACAGCAGAGTAGAGTGAATCACGCCAAGAACAGACACGCAGTCACACACGCTTGGTTGGGTTCAAATCCAGGTCCCAGCTCTGTGATCTCAGCCACGTAATCTCACCTCCCTAAGCCTGGGTCTCCCCATCTGTAAAATGGGGAGAGTAACAGCCTCTAGCCAGGAGGGTGGGCCTGCACCCCTCTTGGGGGAAGGAAGGACAATGCCCGGTTCTGGTGGCCCCTCGGGAGTTGCACTGCCAGGACTCGGGTGGCTCAGGTTCTGGGATATCTTCCTGACTCTAAGCCAGTGGGCCCTCGGGCCCTGGAAAGTTCCAATTTATACCTCTCGGAAGATGGTTCAGAGAAGGGAGCCAAGGCAGCTAGAGCCAAAATGATGAAATGTCCCCAAACAGCCTGAGATCTTTGCTGTTCAGTGTGGCCCCAGACCTGCAGCATTGGTTCGCCCGGGCCCAGCCCCGGGTCTGCTGAGTCAGGGTCTACACTAGCAAGACTCCCGGGAGCTCGGGTGCACGGCAGAATTTAAGGGGCTCTGCTCTAGGGAGGCGGGCCCGAGGCTCCCGGACAGTCGGAACCTCCACTGTCAGCCCCACTGGTGAGGCCCCGCGCACCGCTCCATCCTCCCAGCGCCCTGCGAGGTGGATGCCATCATCAGCTTCCCACCCGACGGCCCTTCCTCGGAGACGGGAAGGCACCTGCAGGAGAAACTCTGCACAGGTGGGCGAGTTCTGCACCCAGAACTTTCAGGCGAGAGGCCTGGTGTGGCCAGGCTGCGGGTTGAAAGGAAAGGGAAGCCGGAGCCCCGGGGCTGGGGAAGGAGGTGCAGCTCCCCACTGCACCCCCCTCTCCCCACTGCTGTGGGCGTTTGCCTGGCCCAGGCATGGAGCCAGGCTGTCCCCTACCTGCCATCTGTCCCACCATCTGGCTGCCAGTGGGCAACGGGGGCGAGGGGGCAGCAGCGCCTGACTCACCCTTGTCCACCACCTCAAGGTGGATCTTCTTGACGACGCTGGTGTTATGCTCGTAGTTCTCGAAGAAGAGCAGGCGGTAGACGTGGCACTCGTAGTCGCCCGAGTGGTTGTAGGTGACGTTGGTGATGAAGATGGACAGGTCCTGCAGGTCCTTGGTGCCCCGGCTGCCGTTCCACACCACGCGGCCCTCGAAGCGCTCATCCTCCTCCAGCTGCAGGACCTCGTTCTCATAGCGCAGGATCTGGGGGCAGCGGACCGGTCACTGGCCGCAGTCCCCAGACTTTTCCGCCCCTTGCCCTGCGGCTCAAAGAGACAGCGGGCGCCCTGACCTCGGGCAGGGAGGGCACGGGGGGCTAGGATCGTGCCCTGGCCTGCCCCCAGCCCTGTGTCCCTGGCCCTGACACACGCACACATAGGCCTCTGGCAGCAGCCTCCTCTGCACCCCCTGGCCCCCCTCCCAGCCCCATCTGGCCTTCCTGGCTTTCATTCTCCCTCAGGCAGGGACAGAGGCGTCCCCTCCCAGCCACCGCAGACCCCGGGCCTCAGGGGGCCCTGCGGGTTTGCGGTGTCCCCCTCGTTTGTAGCTCAAAATACACATCACGCAAAGGAGGTCAGGAGAGTTCTGCTTTGCTCTCACGATGACTCTGTGAGACATCCTTGCTGGGACTCAGTCACTCCAACGACACTTACCCGGTGCCCCCCGGCACCAGCTGGGTCGACCCCCACCCAAGCCTACGAGCCAGAGACCATCGCCAGCCCATCTTTACGGAGGAGGAAACTGAGGCTCAGAGAGGCTCAGCGCCTTCCCCAGGGTCACCAGCTGGTCGGCGGTGGAGCCGGAATCAGAATCCGGGTCGCTGCTAATAGCACATGGCTGAAGACGGACAGACAGCCCCTCCCGGGTCCTGCCTGCCACCAGCGCCCACGCAGCCGCCCCCTCCCACACCTGTGCCAGGCACCCACACACCTTGACAAACTCCTCAGTGCCCTTCTGGCGGAACGTCCACTCTGTGAAGGTCTCGGCGGTGGTCTCGCTGCGGCGCTTGCAGGAGATGCACAGGATTTTGAAGGTCATCCCGTACACGGCCTCGGTCTCTGAGTCCACCTCCACGCAGCCCCCCCAGGCTGAGGACACTGCGGGGACAGCGGGCTCAGGTCGAGCAGGGGCACCCGTCGCCCTGGGGGCAATGCCAGGCTTACTGGCTGTTGGCTCTCAGGCACTCGGAACCATCTGTTTCCCCTCCAGCGAATGGACACTACGCCCGGCCCTGCCCCTTGCTGTGTGCCCTTGGCAAGTCACTCATCGTCTCTGGCCTCAGTTTCCCTCTGTGAGGTGAGGGGGACGATCATCTCTGCCTCTAGGGGCTGCTGGGCAGATTCCACAGGTTAGGTGAACCCAGCAGGGGGTCTGGCACACAGGAACCCCCTCCCCAACAACAGGGCTGTCTCTGCGGTCAGTTACTCGGAGTCTTTGCTCTGTGCCCAAGGAGATACCCGAGCGCCCCTTCTTAGGTCCCCCTGCCCACGGTAGGCGGCAGTTAGGTGGGACTAGAGTTCTGGATGTGTCAGAAGTCGAGGCGGCCGAGTCATTTGCACCGCCACTGCTCTGCAGAACCAGCCAGCCCGAGAGGGTGGGTGGGAGAAGGCAAGGCCTCAGGGGGGTGGGGGTGGGGGGCCCAACTCCTGCCCAGCTCTCAGGCCCCACAGTTTCGGCTGTCACCCACCCCCTCCCCAGCCTCTCTGGCCTCTGTCCCCCGTTCCCCTCCGGGCTCCTCGCCTCCACACCCCTTTCCCACCTCCTCTCAGCTTCTTGAAACTCACTGAGCTCTTTGCAGCCTCAGGGACTTTGCACCCCCGCTGGATGCCGGTCCCTCTGGGTGCCTCCTCCGTATCCCTACCTGCCGCCCGCTTGCCGAGGCCCAGCGCCCACCAGCTGATGCTGCGCCTCTCGGGCTCCAGCCCTGGGTGTTTCTTTGTCCCCGAGCAGCTTCCTCTCTCAATCTTGGGAACTTGGGGTCCTCCTCCGCTGCCGTCTCTAACTCCTTGAGCACCTCTGTGTCTGTCTCCCCGGACTTTTTATCTCTTAGGGAGTGTCTGGGAAGGGCCCACCCCGTCGGGTCCTCTTTCCAGGCTCACGCGGCCTCTCGGGGTCTCCCTCTGCACCGGGCCGTCCCTTTCAAACTCGTGTCTCCCTGCGTCTACCTGTGTCTGCATCTCTCCCTGCGTCTCCCAACTTTGCTGGGTCCCCCGCGCTCCGCTTTCTAACTCGCTCCTCGGCCTGGCCTCCCCGGGCTCACCCCGCAGCCCTCTCCGTCTCCTCCCCCGCCTCCCCCGCCTCTCCCGCTCCCGGGCCCGCCGGGCCACCCCGGAGCTCTCGGAGCCGCTGCGCCTCCCGCGCCCTCCCCCGCGTCCCCGTCTCCCCCGGGCTCCCGGGCTCCCCCGTCCCGGTCTCCGGGCGCCGCCTTTCCCCACCCCCTCCCGCGGCTGTGGGTGTCACATTGCAGCCTGCGGGGCTCCGGGAGCAGCTGACTCCGCGTTTCCTCGCCCCCGGCCGGGCGCCCGCAGCCGCCGAGCCGTGCCAGGCCGGCCCCCGCCGCGCGCCCCCCGGCCCCCGCCCCGCTCCCCGCGCTCACAACTTCGGGAGCCGACTTGGCCGGGCCGGGGGCGGCCCTCGCCCCGCCGTCCCGGCCCTCGCCCCGCCGTCCCGGCCCTCGCCCGCCGTCCCGGCCCCGCGCCCCGCGCTCACCCAGTGCCGCGCCGACCACCAGGGCCAGCAGGGTCCCCATGGCGCGCTGCGCGCTGCGCCCCCCTCCCGGGCCGCGGGATCAGTGGCGGGGCAGGAGGCAGCGGGCCCGGGCGGCGAGTAGAATGTCCCCGGGAGCGCGCGGGCGCAGCAGCTGCGGCTCTGGGACCGGCGGGGGGGCGGGGGGGGGCGCGGCCCCCCCGCTCCGGTTACCGCCGGGGGCCCAGCCCCGGGGCCCGGCGTCCGGGCATCCCCGCCGCTCGGGCGGCCGCTGCTCGGGCTGCTGCGCTGGGGCGCGCGGCGGGGCGCATCCGCCAGGTGCGCCGACCCCGGCCCCTCCGGCTCGGGCGCGCTGGGGCGCGGGCCGCGGTCTCCTGCGCACTGCAGCGGCGGCGGCGGCGGCGGCGGCGGCGGCCCGGGAGGGAGGAGGAGCGGGAGGGGGCGGGATGAATCACCGCGGGGGGAGGGCGCGGCCGCCCAGCCTTTGCCGCAGCGGCCCGGGAGGCGCCCGCTGCACCGGCCTCTCCCGGTGGCGCAGGGACGGCGGCTTCTGGGCAGGGGGGTGGCCGGGGTGGGGGGGGCGACCCCTCCCGGCTCTGGGGACACCCAGCCTCGGAGTCTGGGAAAGGTCACCCCCCCCAGAGTCACGGAAGGGCTTAGAGGGCGTTTGGGGGACAGGGCTGCCGACTTCAGTTTATGGAGGTCATCCTCATGGGACTGGACGGCGACTCGGCTGGGACGCCCAGGGGACCTCGCCTTCAGATCCCTGACATCTGGGCCTGGAGGTCACTGTGCTGGAACTCAAGTGGGTGTGAGGTGGGGGAGCCAGGCCAGGGCCACCAAGAGTACTTCAGACTGCACCCAGGCAGGTGGGGTGTGCTGGGTCTAAACCAGAGCCGCTGCCCTGGGGGCCCCCGGGGGTACCATGTTTCAGGAGGAGGGTCCCTGGGCTCTGATAACGCCACCCCCAACCGCCACCGCCGTCAGGGCCCCTGCTGCTGTTCCCAACACACCACACTCGTTCCTGCCTCAGGGCCTTTGCCCTCTTTGCTCTTCCCTCTGCCTGGACCACTCTCTTCCCCCTGGTAACTCACTCCCTCTCCTCCCGCATCTCTTGGCTTCAATGTCACCTTCCTCAGGTCTTCTGTCCATTCCCAGGAAACTGCCTCCCCTGTCCCTCACTTGACCGACTTTACTCATTTCGTTTTTTTTTCCACCGCACTTGTCACCACCTGACATTATATTCTTCCTTTATATAGATCTTCCTTCCACGCCTGTCCCTCCAACCCTGGGGTAGAAGGTGCCCCCAAGTGAGGACACTGTCTCGCACACCACTGTTTCCAGCATCTGGAACTGTGCCTGGCACATGATAGGTGCTCAGTAAATATTCATCAAGTGAATAAATGCCAATGCCAGAGCCCTTCCGGTATGCGGGGTCCATTTCTACCTCCCCAACATTGGCAAGTTATTATCCCCATTTCACAGAAGAAACTGAGGCCGAGAGCACCTCACTCCCTTGCCCAGGGTCTTGTAGTTGGCCTCGGGTGGATCTGGAATCCTGCCCCAGCAGTGGTGGGTGGAGAGGTTGGCGGTGGGGGCTCTGGGCTCTCAGGACCAGGGTGGGAGTGAGTTTTGGCTGGCTGCTCAAGTCCTGGCCTCCAGTTATGGGTAGGGTGAAGTTCCAGATTGCCCGCCATCCCCTGGCCCAGACCCGCTGAGCAAGAGGAACCAGGGTGTGTGACAGGCTCGGGGCAGAGGAACAGGAAGCCAGGGACAATGGACACCTCTGTGGTCTGGGCCTCTCTGCCAACACCTCCTGGGCTGTGAAATTGCCCTGCAGAAAATAACTCCCTTGCTGTACCAGGCCCTCCCCCGGGCAGCGAGTGACGGGCAGAGGCAGTGAGCACAGGCCTGAGGCACTGGGCGAGGGCACCTACTCATAGCCCTACAAGCTGGTGTTCACTGAGCACCTACTATGGGCTTGGTGCCCTTCTAAGCACCTTCCTAATATTAACTGTAATTCTGTCTATAGGGCAGGTGTTACCATTATTGCCAATTAACAGGTATGGGAAACTGAGGCGCAGGGTGGCTAACTTGCCATGATCACACAGCTAGAGGAGAGGCTGTGCCACTTGTGGTCCTTCCTGCCTCCATCCAACCCCTCTGTCCAGTCCTCTGTCCCAAGCCATCAGTTGAGAAGTTTCTTCCAGCCTGACCGGGACATGTCAAAGGTCTCTCCTGACCTCTCACTCACTCTGGAACCAGACCAGGGCTGAGAGGGAGACCTGGGTTTGTCCAGGACCAGACACGTGGCCTCTAAGCCCATTTCCTCATTGGTAAGACAGGAGTCCAGATGGCCTCAACCCAGACAGGCCATTGTAGGGTCCTGCAGGGGACAGGACCTTGCATTTAAATGTGGAGAAGCAGGAACCAGGCCCGCGGCTGTTGTCTTCCTGCAGAGTGGCCTCAGACATGTGCCCGTCTGCCTACCGCATCTCAGGGGGTCACGGTGAGACTTAAATGAACACCAGGCCTTGGCACAGAGCCTGGTACACACTTGGTGCTTACTACAGCACTTACTTCTCCCCCCCCCCCAATTTTTCCATGGTAAGAGTAAGCTTAGTTGAACGCTTACTCTGTGCCAGGCCCTGTTACGAGTAGCCACATCTATTAACTCATCTCTCGTAAGAGTGGCTGGCAAAGGGAGATCCTGGGAACTTGATGGAAGTGCAGACTCTCAGCCCACCCCAGACCTGCTGACTCTGAACCCCGGGGGGTGGGGAGGGTCTGGAAGTCTGTTTTTCAACAAGCCCTCGGGGAGACTGCGGCACCTCAAGTTGGAGAACCATTCACTTCTAAGAACCCCGGAGACAGGTGCCACTCTTACGTCCATTGTACAGAAGGGGAAACCAAAGCTCAGAAGAGTTGACCCCAGTTGCATGATTGCTAAGGGTCAGGGGATTTGAACCCAGGTCTCCAGGCACCTAAGTCTGTCCTCACAGCCCCAGCACAGGACCCTGATGACGCAAAGCTCGTGGAAGATGCTGGAGAGTCCCAGATCGTGTTAGTGACTCAGCCCCTGAAAATGGACAGATCCCCCCCTTTCAGCACAACCGGAGGCTCCCGCCCGCTCCCAGGGACCTCACAGGCACAGCCACAGCCATTTCCAACCCTTTATTGGGGCTCTCTGTCACCCCAAATAAATATAATACATTAAACCCAGAGCTGAGGGAATCGTGCACCCCAGAGGCACCCCCCACAACCCCAGCTGGGCAAAATAAGTTAGCGGAAGGGGCCTGCCGTAGGCCGGGCCAGCTCCCTGGCTGGGCAGGCGATGGCAGCTGGACTCGCACACGCTGGTCTAAAGTGCATCTCGGTTCTGTGGTCCCCATGTCTGCGTGGCCCCTGGCTGGGCCTCTGGGAGGGGTGGGCGGGAGGCTCCCGGCGCTCACACCGTGCCAGCAGTGGCCGCCGAGGCTCTGTGTCCATCTGTCCATTGGGGGGGGTTGGCCGCAGGGCTGGGGGTCTGTCCTCAGGAGAAGCTGTCATCGGGCCGTGGCTGGGAGTCGAAGGGGGGGTCTGAGACAGTGATGCCTTGATGCAGCTTCTCCAGCGAGAACTTCATCTGGGAGGAAGGAGAGGGCAGGGTGGGGGGTGAGCGCCCACAGGGGTTCCTGCAGTTGAGGACCTGGAGAGAGACCTGAGGGGCCCTGCCCCCTGCCAAGGTCACCCTGGGACAACAGGGGAGCCTACTGCACCCAGTGTAACTTCTAAGTTGCGGCCAATGGGAGGAGCCCAGATGGCCCAGGTTCCAGTCACAGCCCTGCTACTACGCACTGGGTGGTCTTGGGCAAGCCCCTACCCTGCCCCTGGTCCCTCAGCTGAAAGGTGGGTCAGTCACAGCCCTGCTCCACAGGGTTAGCTCCGGTTCTGACGGGCAAACATCTAGCACCTGGCACACGGGAAGGCCATTCTCATTCCCCACTGGGTGACCTTGGGCAGGTCTGAACTTCTCAGACCTTAGCATCCCTATCTGCTGGACGGCGGGTAACAAGAGCATCCCTCTCACGGGCTGGCCTCGAGGGGCAAATCAGTTGGTCCTTTTAGCCCAGAGAACAGCCCGGCTCAATCTGTGTCTGCGGTGAACCAATATGAGAAGCTGACTCTGTGCCCTTGGCAACTTAGGAGAGGAAGATCATCAGACTTTACCTTAACATGGGGAGGCCCTGCCATCCCTCTGAGGGATGGGACCCCAGCCTCAACCCCGCCTGCCCCCAGCCACTGTCACCGGTTCAGTGATGGATGTGTGAGCCCAGCAGCCGGTGAGAATGAGCTCTTTCCTTTGCAGGTCAGCCTGGAGCTGCTGCTATTGCCTCGGTCAGGGGCGGGAGGGGAGGATGCCCCAAAACAAAGCCAACTCTGGGGGTGAGCAGAGTCAAGAGATGGATGGCGTGGGGGTGGCTGGACTCAGCCATCCCTGAAGTCACACACCGTGGACACTCTTCCTCCAATGAGAGCCGATTCTTTCTTCCATTTTTCCAGCAACCCTGGGAGCTGGGGACTATGAATGGCTTCCTCGTTTTACAGAGGAAGAAACTGAGGCCCAAATGTATCTACCACACGTTGGGATCTGAACACGGGGCCCTGCAGCCCCAGAGCCTCACCTCGTCTAGGAGCTCCACGGAAGCCCGCAGGATCTGCCTCCACTTGTGCACCTCGACGCTGTGGAACTGCTTCTGCAGGGCTAGGATCTCCGCCCACTCCGTGGCCGTCTGGGGGAACTTGCTGGAAGGGAGGCAGGGCCTGAGCGGGGCCATGGTCTCTCCGGACCTGCCCGAGTTCCCATCCCCTGCAGGCCATCTACTCACCCCTTGGCCAGGGCCAGACTGTGCCAGGACTCGAAGGTGTGGGCTGTCCTCTCCAGGGACCAGAGGCGGTAAAAGAGCAGGACATTGAGGGCGATGAGGACGATGAGGCTGAGGGCAGGGGTCAGAGGTCAGAGTCAGGACACAGATGCTCTCGTAAGTCGGTACCCACACAACCACACCTTGAAGGGGCACCACAATCACCCCCCTTCTCAGAGGACAAGGCTGACTTAGAGAGGGCGACAGACCAGAAGCAGCAGCAAAGTCAAGGGGTCAAATCCAGGCCCATCTGACAGCCCCGCCCTCAACTGCCACAGCAGGCCGCCTTGCCGGGAGAGCTGGGGGCTCAGGTAGGGACAAGGGGCTGCAGCTGGGGGTTGAGGTGAGAAGCGAGGGGGGTGCAGGAAGCAGGGCCCTACCTCACACAGATCCTGTGGAAGCAGCAACGGAAAGACAAGGAGATGAGAGCCGCCCAGCCATGAGAGCCCCCCCAGTGCCCCCCAGCACGCCAGGCAGCCCCTCTCTGGCCGGTGCTGGAAAACGGAAGCCCAGAGGGGCTGAGTGAGTGACCTCTGCTTCCCCAGGAAGCCTCCCCCAGCCTCCCCGGCCCGGCCCTGACCCCTAGCTCTCTGGCCTGGCGTCAGGTCTGTTAGTCACTACTGTCCCCAGCGTCACCCAGGTTAGGGTTGGGCACAGAAGACAGGACTGAGATGTGTAAGTGACAGCGCTTCTTTTCCATCGCTCTCCCGGTTCACCTCATTCCACCTCCTTTGGGCGTCAGCTCCCCCAGAAAGCCCTCCTTGCCCCCTGGGTGAGGTCAGGCCCCCCTCCGACCTCCCAGAGCCCCCAGGGTCCCCCTCTCCCAGCGGGACAGACTTCTCCACGACAAACGGAGCGGTACAGTCATCTCCGCTAGGCCACGGGGTGAGCCCAACGCTCTGGCTTCAGCAGACGCTGGGAGAGGCCAGGCACCTGCCGAGGTCACACAGCCAGAACGCAGACCCGGGCCTGTCCGACCCCAAAGCCCGGGCCCCTTACTCACACAATGCTGATGAGAACCAGGGCGCTGGGGATGCCCGCCCCGGGGCCCTGGTCCACGGATGGTTCCGAGAAGCGCGAGCTGAGGGAACCTGATAGGGAGCACCGAGGAGTCAGACCCGTCCCAGCACACCCACGGCCCCCGCTCCTCCACCTGCCCTGCCCCGGCCTCAGGGACACACCCGAGGTGTGCATGCCAGCCCGGGCACAGGGGTCGGGGTCCGGGTGCTGGGGCCCATCGCCGTGACCCCTCCAGCTCAGGGGCCGCTTGCGCCTCCTCAGGCCTGACAGCAATCCTCGGGCATCCTTCCCGCCTTCCTCCAGGGACAGCTTCTCGGCTTTGGCAAGCTCTCGCTCTGTGGACACAAGGGAGGCCTCCGCATGGCTGGACCTAGCCAGGCCACGACCCCGTCCCTGCCCTGGCCGACCCGTCCCCTACCCAGGTGGTGGAAGTAATCCTCAATGCCGCTCCAAGAGTTCTTCTCAATGAGTGACTTCACGAGGCTCCAGGGCTGCTTCCGGTAGCGGATCTCGGAGGACACTCTGGGGTTGGGGGGACAGGGTGAGGGGGTCAGGGTCTGACTCCAACCATTCCAAGCGGGTGCTTTCCGTCCATCCATTCAGAGAGGGCCCCTGGTCCCCCACGGACAAACAAGCACCCCTTGGCAAGTGTCCCAGCCTCAGCAATGCCCTCCCATGCCAGCAGCGGAGCCTGCACCTCGCCCCGGACTCTTCCGTCACGCTGCTGTGCCCCAGCTCCACCTGGGGTCCCTGAGACAGCTCGCCACGTCCCAAACTGAGCTCCTGATCTTCCCCCAAACCCATTCCTCCCCACCTTCCCCCTCCCGGGCAGTGGCAGCCCAAGCCAGACACCTCCGGTTTGCTGTCCCCCCGCTGTCGGGAACAGCACCAGGCACAGAGCACAGCCTCCAGAGCGGACAACAGCTGACCCGAGTCCCTGCGCTCTGCCCTCTACTATCCCGAGGTCAGAGGCCTCGGGGCCCAACACGTGCGCTCCTCTGCAGGGTGGCAAGCAACTGACTTGGGCTGGGGAGAGCGGGGCGGGGACCCTGGGACCCCCAGAGCGCCAGGCGAGGGGCCGCTACCCACCGGAGCCGGGCCTTGTTCCGGGCAAGGCCCAGGATGCAGTAGCGGTGGGCAGTGTAGAAGTAGTCCTGGTACGGGATGCCCTGTGTCAGCACCTCCGAGTCCACCACACAGCCGCCCGCCTGGGGGCCACGCCGGAACAGTGTCTGCGGAGACCGGGGTGCGGGGGTGAGGGCCGCTCCACCCGGGCCGTGCCCCCCGCCCCGCCAGCCCCTCTGCCTGGCCCACCTGTGTCTCCACCACCGACGCGCTCTTGGGGCCCAGGGGGTTGCTGATGGGAATGGTATACGTCAGCACTCGGCGCTGGTGGCACTTGTTGTCCCCGGTCCAGGGACTCAAGGTCACATCTGCAAGAGGGAGGAACACAATGAGGAGACCATTCTCCAGTCTTCTGCCCGCAGGCCGTGGGAAAGAACTCCAGTTCTCTGGGGACTCGCCCCCAAACCTGCCCTGCTTCCGCAGCCCCACCGCGTGTCTGGCCCACCTTCCTTCTGGACACCCTAAAACTGCAGGTGTTGGGAATACTCAGAGCTGGGACCTCTCTCTTCCCTACATTCGTCACCCACCCATCCTGGGGCCATCTCGTCCGTTCCTGCAGCCTCAGTTTCCCTCTCTGTATCTGTCCTGGCTTCTCCCCTAAGCCTCCGACCTAGGATCCTGTGACCTCCTGAACACCTTCCCCTGGAAGTTCCCCAGACACCTCATACCCACCAGCTCCCACACTGGTCTCGGCATTCCCCTAAACCTCTCTCTCTCTCTCGGGGTCCTGTCACAGGGTAGCCCCCCCCTCCACCCTCCAGGCTTCCCCAGAGCCCTGGGCCCTGCCCTGGACACTCCCTCCCCTGTGTGTTCACTTGACCTCCTGAGCGTGGCTCCTGGTCCAGCCCATCCCTGCCTGCCCAGGGTCCCACTCCGGCCCCCCCGCCCGAGTTTCTGGCCCCAGTCTCCACTGAGGTCCAGGCGTAGCTTCTAAAAGCCAAGCCTGCCCCTGCCCCCAACCTGCCTAGAACACTCCATGGCTCTCCAGGGCCCCGGACAGAATTTGAGTTCCTCAATCTGATGTGCCAGTCCTTCTAGGACGTAAGCATGGAACCCCAGGCACGGCCTCACTCGTCCTGCAGGGGGTTCTACGGGGTTCATTTCCACCCACATCGGTAAAGAAACAGGAAGACTAGCATCTGACTCGCCCCTCGCTGCTTGACGCCCTTCCACAGCCTACTGAGCTCTTCGCCTGGTCCCACGGGAACCCTTCCACGTCCCTGGCGCTGTGGCTTCACCTCGCCGCACCGGCCACAGAGGCCCGGCCTCAAGGGATCCTCCCAGGGTCCGCCCCTGGCCTCAGGGCCTTTGCAGGTGCCCCGCTGGCCGCCCGGGTTTCCCCTCGTCTCCTTCCCTTTCCCCAGCAGAGTTCCTCCTTCAGGCCTCGTGGTCCCAATCTCACATCCTTCCATCCATCCTTCCATCCTTGTCTGTGACCTGACACCCCTCTGACGTGCAGAGCCCCGGCCCGCCTGTGACTTGCGCTTCTCTAGATTCTAGAACTCATCTGCCCCGGCCTCTGCAGCAATCGGACCCAGCGGCCGCTAAGTGTGTGATTGCGAGCTTGGGCTTATTAAACGCTTCCGACCTACTGCTGTTTGTGGCTCGTTTCTAGTATCAACTCAGTTCTCGGGGGCCGCAGATGGGGCAGGGACTATCACCACACCCCTAATGTACAGATGAGGAAACTGAGGCAGAGAGGCTCAGAGTCCTGCGAGAGGCACTCAGCTAGCTGTGAGGCAGAGGGGTGAGGTCTCCGGGATGTGGCAGCTGCACCCACGCGCAGGGCGATGCCGGCCAGGCCCAGCGTCCTCCCCGCGCCCCCACCCCCGTCACCTGGGGCCCCCCCCCCCGACCTGTGAACTTGCACTGCTGCAGGAAGCCCTGTAGGAAGGGCGAGTCTGAGAAGAGCATCTGCTGGAGCCGCTCGGCGCCCACGTGGAAGACGGAGTTGATGAGGAGGCGGCCGGAGAGGTCGGGAAGCAGGGCGGCCAGGTCAGCTGGGGGCCGAGAGGGGCGCTGGATGGTGCATCCCCCCCAGGGCAGCTCCCCGGTCTCCCCCTGGCGACTGCCCCTCTGCACCCTGGCCTCCCGGGCTTGGGGGGGGGGGCGCAGGTGCTGCCCTGGAGCGCAGCTTGGCCCCCTTCTGCCACAGGGGTGGCTTTGGGGGGGCCTTGCCCAGGCTCGGCCAGAGCCACCGCGATTGGTTCACGCGGGACACACACCCAGGGCACCCCACCCTGTGACCCTGGGCCACACTGATGGGCCTGGGGGTGGGCCTGTGCTCCAAGCTGGGCCAATCAGAGCCCAGCTGAGAGCTTGGGGTGCGGCCCATGGGAAAAGCTCAGAAGCTCGCTCTCTCCCTGCTGGGCTAGGCTGAGGGGGGCCAGGGGGGCCCCGGGGGCCCCGGGCTGGGGCTCCAGGGGCCCCCGGGAGAATACAGGCTTCCTGAGAAGGAAGTTGGCACAGGAAAAATGGACACAATAGTAACAAGAGCCACCGCTAAGTGGGCTGAGCACTGCTCGCATATTAACTCCTTTCATTCTCTTAAGGGGACCCTGTGGTCCTTAAGGTCTCTTAGCAGGGACCCTATGAAGTGGGTATTAGTATCGCTGCCCCCATTTTTCAGATGAGGAGAATGAGGAGTTAAACAGCCTCCCCAAGTCCCACGGCAGTGTGGCCGGCACTGGGCCCCTGGCTGGGGATCCGGCTTCAGCCTGGGCTCCTCTCCATCCCTGCGCTGCCTGCCCGGCGGAGCTCAGGACAGGTGGCTGCCTCGCCATCTGAATGCCCTACCCGCCCGCCCCTGGAGCTTTCAGTCCCCCGAGCCGGTGAACCCCTTGCTAACGCCAGCCTGAGTGAGGCTGGTCACGGGTAACCCATGGGGAGGACGGGGCCGCCCCCTCACCTTCCTCCCCTGTGGACGAGGAGGAGTTACTGGTGTCTGTCAACACTTCCTCACTGGGCAGGAGATCCAAGGGGCCCAGGGAGGCGGGCCCGTTGGGCGGGGCAGGCTCTGTGCTTGGGGGTTCAGCCACTGGGGTCACTGTCTGGCTGGAGGAGGCGTCTGGCTGGCTGTCTGTCTGCTCCTCCTTGTCCTCCTCTGCCTGTGGAGAAAGGCTCAATCCAGCCCCGTCCCACCCCCATTCCAGCCCGAGGCCCCCGTGCACCCACACTGGCCAGAAGGATTTGTAGGAAAACCAACGCTGGGGGGGTGTGCTGCAAGGGGCCCTGGGGCTGCCCAGATGAGGGCCCCTCTTGGCCCCACCAGGGTGCCTCTCCTGCCCACCCATCCTTCCATGCCTCCATGCCTCATCTGTCTGTCTTTGTCCATCCACCCTTCCGTCCTCCCATCCATCCATCCAAGTCTTGCTTCTTCTGTCTCAGAGTCTTTTCCTGTCTTCTGCCCTTCTGCCTCTCTCTCTCTCGTTCCTTACCCCATCCCTCTGTCCATCTCCTCCCTTACCCCTCCAACTCCCTCTTCTCTGACCCTCTGGCTGTCCCCTCTCCATCCTGCCCCCCCCCAGTCTGTCCCTCTCCCTGACAGCACTCCCCATCCTCCTCTGTCCCCCATCCTGGGCTCACCACGTGGTCTGCATCACTGCTGGCCCGGGAAAGGTTGGGGGTGAGGCGGCCACGGCGCGAACCCACGGGGCTCGGCTCCTGGCTGTTGTCGGCTGCCCCCGAGGGGGTGATGTCACTCAGGGCAATCACATCTCCCACTTCCTTGGGGCTCCTGCGGGGAAAGGGAGGGTTTGGGATCACCGTACCTTTGAACCCCACACATCCTCCTGGTCTCCCAGGCTGGACACCCACCTCGGTCCACCCAGGACTCCAAAAGCTCTGCACACAGCCCCTACGGTCTCCCCCGACCCCAGGAACCAGCCACCAACCTCTGACTCACCCCAGACCGTTCAGCTGCAAGGGGCAGACATAGTCCTCATCCTCACTGGTGAGGCCCAGCTCTGAGCCGTAGCACTGATGCACCAAGTGCCAGAGCTCGCGGGGACTCAGCGTCTGGGCAAGCAGGACATGGGGTTGGCCTCCACTTCACTAGACCAGAGCCCTTCCATCCCTGTCCCCACTAGCCGCCCCGCCCCCCCCTCCCTGGGCTCTGCATCCCTGTGGTGTCCACGAGGGGGCAGCACAGTCTCCAGTCCCAGCCCTCACCCAACCCCGCTCCATTCCCCATCACCAGGAGTCAGGGTGCTCAGGACATTCCCCTTAGGTCCTCACAAGAGGTTAGCATTTCCAGATGTACAGAGGAGAAGATGAGGGAGGCCCAGGGAGGGGGGGACACGTGTCTGAGGTTCCACAAGTGGAACAGCTCAGGGATTCAAGCCCAGCCCGACTCCAGAGCCAGGGCTCCCACCCACCCCTGCTGTGCCGCCCCTGTTTTCCCGAGAGTTCCTGGCCGGGGCAGCTGAAGGCTACAATGGAAGAGCATCGTGGAGGAGTAATAACAGTAGCAGGGGAGCCATCCACTGAGCTGTTTCCAAGTGCCAGGCCTTCCTCTAACTCCAACCCATGGGCACACTCACTGAATCTTCCAGAACAATTCTATAAAGTGCTAACATGGTCATTTTAAGGCACAGAGGTGCTCAAGTGGCAGTGGTGAGGTGTGACCCAGGTGGGGGGGGGGCACGCTGCTCTAGATCTTGGAGCTAACCACTGGGCCAGCTGCCTCATGAGAGCTGACATGACTGAGCACTTAACTCTGCACCCAGGTCTGGGGGCTATGAAGTAGGAAAGTCCCTGTCTGATGGGGTTCAGTTACTTGCTCCAGGTGGCTCAGCTCCTCAGTGATGGAGCTGGAACTCCAACTCCGGTGGTCTGGCTCCAGGGACTGACCTCGGATGCTTCCTCTGCCTGCACCCTCCTTGGAGGCTCTGACTCTGCGCTGTCCCTGTCTCGGGCTCCTGTCTGGCACTTTCACCCCCCAGCATGGGCATGGCTGGCACTGCCCACAAGAGGACAGGACATGAGCACAGCACAGCTGGAGGGGCAGGTTTGGCCTTCTGAGGCCAGCAGTAAAGACATCATGCCATGCCTACCTGACATTTATCCTCCCTCCCTCACTCACGGCAGAAACTCAATTTGTTTGGGGTGAAACTCTTCCCCAGCCCTAGAGATAAATTATAACTGGTTTACACCGATTTTTCCACCTTTTCCTTTGCAACTGAGGGTGATTATGCTACCTGGTTCTAGCCAAAGAAACGCAAAGAAAAGTTGGTTTAAAGGGGGCTTTCCCTCCCTTATAAAGGAAGGTCCCCTTTCTACCCACCTATTTTCTCCTTCACGGTTGGGACACTCATGTGAGGGAGGGCATGATGCCTATGGCCGTAGCCACCATCTTGCAACACGAGGCAACAAGCATGTGGACAAAACATCAATATGTAGAAGGGGGACAGTGTGGGAGAATAAACAAGAGGTGGGGTCCTTATGACATGGGGGAAGCCCTCAAACCCGCCCTGGATTGCCTGCCTCCAGACCTCTGGTTAGAGGAGCATCAGTATGATACAGACCCTACGGGCCACGGGTCAGAACCCCACCCTTGCTAAAAACTCTCATGACCACGGGCAAGGCTACCCCTCCATGTTTCACTGGTGAAACATAAGGGTGGTTGTGAAGATAAAGTGAACCAATGCATGTAATGCTCAGAGCAGGGCCTGGCACCCAGGAGCACCCTAAGTATTAGCTATTATTAGGATTCATGGAGTAATTCAGGATGTTTGCTTCAAGCATGTGTGGTTGAGTTTTCGGTGACTTGCAGCCGACTGTATCCTACTTAGTAAACTCGTGCAAACACAGTGGGCAAGGCAGGAGAGCCTGCAGGCTAGCACACCGTGGACCCTGGGAATGTACAGAGTCTAAAAGCCCTTACTCAAAACCTCTGGGGCAAGACATACGTCAAAATTAAGAAGTCTGGGGTTTTAAGAAAGATAATACAGCACCTATACGGTATGTAGTGATATGGTCCCAACAACGATGAATGTGCTATATTCAGTACCCAGTGTAACATATACCACACGTTCTCCAAGTATGGTCCAAGGAGGATTTCTGGGGGTCCCCAAACCCTCTCTGGAGATCCACAACATCAAAATTATTTTCATAAGTACAGTAAGTGTTACTACCAGTGTCAGACGCTACTTGCCTTTTTCACTTTTATTCTCACACTAGTATACTGTGGAATTTTCCAGAGGCTACGTGACATGTGACGCTGTCTTTTTCTGGTGGCTAATGCAGCATGTGCTCGTGTATTCCCGTGTTTAAGAGTTTTCCCCAGTTTCAATTTCTGATCCAGTAAACACTGGTAGATATAACCCACTTAACCAAAGGTTCTTTGGAGTCTACAATCATTTAAAGAGTATAAAGGGTTCCTGTAGCTACACAGTTTGAGAATCATTGGCTGAATATGCTATCGGATAGAGACCATAACTTCATGTTGAATTACGATTACGTCTAAGCTTTACCCCGGTCACCCACGTTAACATTTTTTTTGTCCTGAGGCGTATGGACAGTCAGTCACGCGGAGATAAATGTAGCCTGTGCTGTACAGGAGGCACGTGCAGCCATTCAAGTTCACTTAAATAAAAGTAAAGGTGCTGATCTTCAACACCACCCGCTTTTCAAGAGTTCAGTAGGCGCAGGTCATCAGGGGCTGCCGTATGTAGACAGCATGGATGGAGAATGCTTTCATCATGGCAGAAAGTTCTATTAGCCAGTGTGGACGTAGACCATAAACAGCCATGTTAGCTCAGGTCAGATTTTGCTACCACCACACACAGGGGCACCCCCTCACTATCAGAGCATTTTTGATTTGTGGAGGTGAATTAAGGGACCACGGAGAGGCGTACGCATGGGCAGGGCCTGGCGCTAGAGCTGCTGGCGGCCCCCTGACGGAGTCTATGCCCACGGAGGGGAGCCAAGGGGCCCTCCAGTTCTGGCGCCCCCAGTGCCATGAATCCCTGCAGCCCCCCATCCATTCGCATCCAGACCCACCTTTTCAAGCAGCGCGTTCTGCCACAGGCGAAAGATGAGGAGGAAGCAGCGGTCCCGAGCCCCGAAGGAGGTGAAGAAATGCTGCAGGAGAGAGATTGGGGCGTGAGGGGGCGGAGAACAGGCAGGGCCAGAGGGAGGGGAGGCTCCATCGCCATCCACACTTTGTGCCCCGATCTCCATCCTGATGTATCCACTCCTGCATCCCTTCATTCCCGCCCCAGAATGTTCATCCTGTGAGTCCCCGTGATGAGGAGACGACCCCTGGCCCTGCCCCCAGACGGGCTGTGAGGGGGCCGCCCAGGGCACTCTCCCGGTCTCCTTCGACCAGCAGGGGTGGTCACCTAGTCCACATCTGGCCAATAAAACACAACGGGAAGTCTGCTGTGAAGTCTCCCCACCACTCCCTCTCCCCCTTCCTGTCTGAGTCACTGGTGTCAGGCAGCCGTCTTGGGACCACGAGGCAACAATCATCAGGACAGAACGGACAGTCAGGGCAGGCTTCCAAGGAGAGGGGACGCCTGAGTTGACAGATTTATGGGAGGGACGAATTTTACTATTAATATTACCCCCGAGCAGCTGCATGAGGGGACAGACCAGGGGACTGAGACGAGGGGCTGCTGTCGGGGGTCCAGGTCAGAGGTGTGGGAGCCTCGGCCAGGCCAGCGGGGTGGCGGGGGAAGAAAGAGAAAGCGAGGGATCTGAGAGCTCGGGGTGCAGAACAAACAGGGTTCGGGGCGGGAGGGACTGGCTAGGACCAGTGACCCCAGCCCCCCACGTCCCCTCAGGCCCTCAGCGCACCTTCTCGCTCTCAGTGCAGATCTGGATGGCATTGGGGATCAGCTTGGCTGTCTTCTCCTTCTTCAGGCACGTCACTTCCTTCAGTTGGATGGAAATCTGAAGACGAGAGGCCCGGTCAGAAGAGGCCCGGCCCGGCCCCTCCTGGTCCCCCCAACCCCCGCCGGCTCACTGTGGTTTCCCAGCGGAAGATGTTGCTGTAGAAGCAGATCCAGTTCTCGGAGAGGTAGAGGCGGCCCTGGAGGAGGATCTCGCGCTGCAAGGCACAGGAGTAATCTGAGGCGGCCGAGGGGAGAGACAGCAGACACCCGAGTCACACACACGGCCCACGGCCAGGGAGGGCGGGCGAGGCGGGGGGACGGGGACGGGGACCGGGCGGCAGGGCTCACCCACGATGAGGCGTTCGGCCTCTGGGAGTTTGCTGAACAGCTTCCGGAAGTCCTCATTCCGCTGTTTGTACGTGGGGCTCAGCATCTGGGGGAGGTTGGGAGGGAAGAACCCAGAGGGGGGCTCGCACCCCTGCTCCCACCCCACAAAGTGCCCGGCAGCCCCTCAGCCCCCCGCCAGCTCTCTGAGGTCTCCTGGGGCCCGGCTCCCGCCCGGCTGCCGCTGCCCCCAACACAGGACTAAGCGTGACCGCAGTGCACACAAGCTGGTCCCTGCGCCACCCACCCACCAGCATCACTGGCTCTCAGCGGGTGTTCCCTTCGCCTTTGCCTTGTAAGGCTGGGACAGTTTCCCAGGACATGGGCCCAGAGAAGTTAAGCAATCACTCGAGGTCCCACAGGAAGCAAGCAGCAGCTCAGAGTGGGACCCTAGGGCCGCCGACCCCAGCACCCAATCCTCCGGCCCCCTCCCTCTCCCCGCTCCGGCAAGACCCCTGCCCAACACTTACGCTGTACCAGCTCTGCATCTTCTGCAAGAGAAAGGAGCAGAGTCAGAACGAGCCCCTAAACTCCCCTGCCCTCCCACCCGTCTCCCCAGCCCGCGGGGCTTGTGGCAACCTTGCTATTGCGGATGAAGTTCCGGCTGCCCAGGCTCTGGGTGCTGGGTGTCCCGGGCCCCCCACCCTTCTCTGAGGAGCTGTCTGACCCCTTCTCCACCATGGTGCCCGGTTCAGGCTCAGGCGGGGGCCGGCTTGAGGGCAAGAGCTGCAGCCGCTTCCGGAGAGACGGGGAGCTGCTTGGAGTGCTCCGGCCGGAGTGGGGGGTGGTGCTGGGGGAGAAAAGAAAGAGGGACATGGTGGGGGGAACAGGCTAGGTGTGGGGACAGGCCTTGTTGGGAGGCCCACACGGCAGCCCATCGACCCCCACCTACCCTCTCGCCTCCACCTCTAGCAGCAGGACCGAGCGAGCGAGCAGTTCCCTAATTCCCTGCACCCCAGTGATTTCATCTGTGACCCAAGGGTGATAAATAAGTGTCCTCATCTGCTTGTTTGGGCACTTAAAGGAATCAATAGGCATAAGTGCTTCTAGTCGCCCCTGGCATATAGTGAGCTCTCAAGGACACCTGCCATTTTTAAAATTATTAATTCATTTATGAATATTTTTTGAGTAGCCCCTTCCTACTCAGTAGCTTGAGCTAAAAACCCAAGTATCTGCTTAATTTTTTTCTTGTTCGCTCTTCCTTTCTAACCTGGTAGCAAGTCCCACCTGCTCTATCTCCAAAATCTATTTCCGTCATTTCTATTACACCCCTTTCCCCTGCTCCAGTGCCCCCGCCCGGCCTCCATCCTCCCCTGCTGGACATCCCAGCAGCCTCTCCCTGGGCTCCCTGTCCCCATCCCCGACCCCCTGCAGTATGTTCCCCACCCGGAGCCACAGGGAGCCTGGGAACCCACTCAGGCCAGGGCCTGCTGGCTCAGAGCCCCTCCTGGCTACACTGCATTCCAGGTAAAGGCCAAGTCCTCACCCTGTCACCCAAGGCCCTGGGGTGGCCTGTCCACATCCTCCATTTCAGCCACCCCAGCTTCCTTTTGTCCCTGAGCTCACCAACTGCATTCCCACGTCGAGACCTCTGCACTTCTGTTCCCTCTGCCTGGAATGTCCTTCCGCAGCCCAGCCCAACAGGCTGTCTCACTTGGCTCAACGCTCCCCTTCCCCTGGGGACCCAGCCCACGAGGCCCACCTCACACTAACCTCAGCTCATCCTGTTGGCCTGTTGATTTGGCCCACTGTGGCCTCCGACTGTGAATTAAGGAAGTTTTAGTTACCACCTTGTCCCCGGCACCCAAAACCGTACCCAGGAGTGAACTCCCAACAAACACCGGAGGCTACACGAATGATCTGTGTTCTGGCGAGAGCGGGAGCGGCAAAGGGACACCTGCTGGCCCTGTGCCACGACTCGCCCTCGGATTCCCTAGTCCTCGGGCAACCCCGTGCACGTGACAGTATCGCCATCCCTGCTTCCCAGAGGAAGCAGCTGGGACCTGAGGCAGCAACCACTTGTCCCAGGACGCAGTGGTTTAGGTCAGGGCAGGGCTCTACCCCGGGGGCCTCCATCTACTCTGGGGTGGAGGTGTGAGTCCCTGGACGGCTCGGGGCTCCTCAAACTTCCCTCTCTCGCCTCCAAGCTTCAGCACAGGCTATTCCCTCACTGCAGACTGTCCTTGGCCTTCTTCGCCTAGCGAATTCGTGTGCGTCCTCCAGGACGCTTGCCCTCCACCCCTGCCTCCCGGACAGAGCCTACCTGTGGACCCCAGGCAGCTCGCACCCTGTCCCTAACCACTCTGCCACCACTCTCTGCCTCTGCTTCCCCATCCCAGCCCTGACTACTTCTGGGCTGTCGCTTGTCCGACGACAGCTCCACTTCCCCCACAGGTCTGTGAGCTTCCCAATGGCAAGCCTTGGTGTTGTCTTGGTCACTGCTCTGTCCCTGGTATTGCTCAGGACAGGACCCAGGGTGGGCATTCATGTCACACTTGTGAAATGAGTTTGTAGAATAAAATAAGTAAATAAATGAAATAGGTGGTGACCCGGGCCACAGCCGTTCCCCCTGGACTACTGCAGCTGGCTTCTCTCAGGTCTCCCTGACACCCTTCCCCGGCTCTGCTCCCCACCTGTGGCCAGAGGGGAACTATGAACACCTGAGTCAGGCTGGGGACCCTCCCCCGAGCTGCACCTGCCTCCAGCTAAAAGCCTGGGGCTGGACCCTCTCACCAACCCCTTGCTCACTCTTCCCCAGCCCCTGCCGTGGCTGTTCCCGCCTCCCAAACGCCCTTCCTCCCAGATGTCCAGAGGACTCCCTCGCCTCCTTCACATCAGGGTTCAGTGGACACTTCTCCAGATCAGCTTCCTCTCAAACCCACACTCCCCACCTCTCAATCGCTCTCCCTCATCCTTTTCCACATCAGCAATTCCCCCGCTCGACTTTCTGTAATGTCTCTCCCCACACTGCGCAGGGAAGGGGCTGCTCCAGGAGCATTTGCTCTTGTGGGCTGAGAACCTGGATTTAATTAGGTGTGAGCTTTGCCCAGCCCTCGGCAACCCCCAGCCGCTCACTCCCTGCGTGACTTTGGGCAAGTGTCTGCACCTGGGCCTCATTTTCCGCCTGACTGTAATGGCAATAACAGCATCGGCCTCACAGGGTTGTCTTGGGGGGGAAAGTGAGGTAATAACACACAGATGATCCTTGAACAACATGGGTTTGAACTGTGTGGGTCCGCTTCTACGGGAATTTTATCCAATAAATACGGTACCATATTGTATACGTATTTTCTTTGTGATTTTAATAGTTTTTTTTCCAGAGGGCTTTATTGTAAGAATATAGTATATGATACAGAGAGTATCCTCCCCAAAAATATGTTAATCAACTGTTTATGTCATCAGCAAAGCTTCTGGTCAACAGCAAACTGTTAGTAGCTAAGTTCTGGGGGAGTTAAAAGTCACACACGAGTTTTCACTGCACGGCAGCGGCAGCCCCGCGTCCCTCACCCCCGCGTTGTTCAATGTCAACTGCACGGAAAGCCCAGCACGTGGAAGGCCCCCTGGTTTGATTAGCCACTGCCCCTGTGTTCAAGATGCAAAGGCGACCCCGACAGGTATCACACCAACACCTCACCTGGGGCTCAGAGCCCGAGCTGACCCCAAGCTCCATCATTCACTCACTAAATACTCATTAACCGCGCGTGAGCAAAGCGGATACCATCCACCTGCAGGGACCTGACACCCCAGCTGGGGAACAGGGACGATGCACAAGAAAACGTGTAAATGGAGATGCGGACCTCAGACACTGGTCATTGCTATAAAGCGGCCCGAGCAGCGTGGGCAGACCCGGAACCCCAGACCCGGAACCCCTGGGACCGCTGCAGACCTCCAGACTCTGAACCTGGGGGCGGGCCCAGGAGGCTGAAGCACGTTCAAGTTTAAGGGCCAAGGAAACAAAGGAAGGCTAAGTGGGCACAGGGCACACCTGAGCTGAGCCCCAGGACCAAGAGCAGCTCTCCCAAAGGGCAGGGGAAGACTGTTTTAGGGACAGGGGCTTGCAGTTCAGGGACAGGACTGAGCCTGGCAGGCCTGAGGAGTGAGGTGGCCAGCGGGGTAGGGGAAGGCAGACAGGAGGGCACAGGCCCCCCTCTGGCCCTGTAGCCCTGGTCAGGAGTTTGGGTTTCACCCTGAGGGCACTGGTGAGCTATAGAAGGGTTCTGAAGGAGGAGGTGACCACATTCCCCACCCCACCCCACCCCCACCCCAGCCTCATCATCTCACCTCTCTGGGCTAAAATGCAGACCTGTCCTACTCTCCCACAGCCACAGGTCTAGGGGAGGGTGGCCTAAGGACAGGCCCCAAAACACACAGACGGGGCAGGGTTCCTGCTCCCAGATAGCGCTCCTCTGTAGGAGGAAGAGGAAGTGCCAGAGAGCAGCACAGCCCTGAGGCTGCCCAAGCAGGCAGGCTGCGGCACAGGGAAGGGAGGGGCCGGTTGTGGCTGAGGACCGTTATGGGGGGCAGGGACTCGGAAGAAAACAGGGTTTTGCCACCGCAGACACCTCTCTTGGGACTTCCTGGGCCTAACCAGGCCCAGCGCTCCCTCTGGTCAAAGGGGGCAGCTGCACACCTACATGTGTACTAAAGGGAAACGTGGCGTGGGTTGCACACAGCCAGTATCACAGGCAAACGGTACTTCCCCACTGTTACAAGTCCCCCCCCCCGCCCCATCCCCACACAGGGGTGGTATCGCAGGTGTGCCACTCTCACACGCAGAACCACAGAGTTCTAGCATGATTACAAGTATGCTACAGCCCCAAGGTCCCAGAGGTTACACGCACATGCTGTCCACGCTGCACACATGCAGCTGCAGCGGGTCACGGAAACCACAGAAAACTCCACAAAATTCCATTCACACATATGGCCACAAGAAGGTCTCAGAGAAGAGGTGAAAGCAAATCATGTTCTAGAGGGAGAGCCATACAACTAAAAGAGCGGCCACAGAGGAACTCAGCCAACGCAGGTACAAGGTACGTAAACTTAAGCCAGGCCTCCTGGCGTTCAGCACCTGGCGGGGCAGACCTAGTGAAGGCCTGCTCTGATGTGGCAGGCGATGGAGGTGTCAGCTGTTGTGGCCGCGGGAGAACCTGGACGCTCACAGAGCCATGAAGGAAGGACCCAGGAGGTCATGGACACATCTTAACACAGTGGCCCGGTATTGAAATAATGCGCGGGACGTGCTTTATAAACTCCAACAGAGGAGGAGTGTCAGTCGTTACTGTTCCAAAGAGTCAAGGGTCTCAGGAAAGAAGGAAAAAAGGTCCCGGGCCCACTAGGAGCCACAAGGGATCTCTCTCCCTCTTGCTTTCACACACACAAAAGCCCTGAGGGGCTCAGCTGCGCGCACACACCACACGCACACACACACACACAGAAGCCCAGGCACATACAAAACTGTCACGTACGGATACACACAGGAACTTTCACACACAGATGTAATCAGAAGTAAATTACAGGCACAACCCCAGGGGGTTCCAGCCATATCCGCCAGGCCCCAGACACACAGTGTCACAGATGCACGCACACAGGTAACTAACTTAAATTTGCACCAGGCACTAATGTGTTCCAAGGTAAATTACAGGCACATACAGAGACGGATGCTAAGAGCTGTAAACACCACGTATACGCACCGAGTCACAACTGGACACACAGGCAACTTAGTGGCACCTTAGAGCCACAGATGGAAACAGGTAATTTTTACAGACGCGCACACACAGCCAGGGAGGGTCACAGCTGCCTGCGCACTAGGAGACCCAGACACATGCACACACACACCAAAGTCACAACCAGACATGCATGGTCTGATGGGACCGGATAACACATTAGGCTTCTACAGCCGTGGAAGGTCACAGACACACACGCAGGGCCCCCAGACACAGGCAGAGTCACAACCGAACATCCTCAAGGAATTTACAGTAACACATGGAGCCACAGATGGAGTCTGACGTAGATCACACACGCGGCCAGACAGGATGCACAGCGGGAACACAGACGCGCGCGCGCTTCCAAGGCACCTACAATTCACACTCGAAAACGTTCGCGGCCCAGACGGGGAGTGGGAGCTCAATCCCCGGCCCAGCACCCGGAATTCAGGCCGAGGCCGGGCGGCCACGAGCCCCCACGCCCCGCAGCAGCTCCGCGGACGAGGAGGCCCGAGGGCGCCCCGGCAGGGAGGCGGCTGCACCCCGGCCTGCCCCGGGCCAGCGGGGGTCGTGCGCGCCGCCGAGCACCCAGAGCCCCGGCCCGCCTCGCGCCCACCCGCCCGCCGCGGCCCGCTAGGCCGGCGCCCTCCCCGCAGGCCCGCGACCCCCGCCCAAGCCCCGCCTCCGCGGCGCCCGCTCCCCGGCGAGGCCCCCCCGCCCCCCCCCCCGCCGTCGCGCCCGGGCCCGGGGCAGCGCCCCCCCGCCCCCGCCCCCGCCCCCACCGCGAGCGCGGAGCCCCGGCCCCGCCGCCGCGTCCTCCCGCCCCGTCCTTACTCGAACATGGATGCGGCGGCGGGCGCGCCGGCCTCAGGGCAGGGCCGGCCGAGCGGGGCTGGGCTGAGCTGGGCGTCCCCGCGGGGCACCTGCCGGGCCTGCCGAGGCCGCCGCCCGCCGCCCGCCGCCCGCCGCGCGCCGCCCGCACAAAGGCCGGAGCCGGAGCCGGAGCCGCGGGAGCCGCCGCAGCGTCAGCGCAGCCGCCCCGCCCCGCCCCGCCCCGCCGCGTCACGGCGCCGCCCCCGCCCGCGCGGGAAGGGGGGCTGCGCGGCGCCCGGGAGGGCCCTGGGCGGGGGGCCCTGGGGCGGGGCCGGCCTAGCCCGGAGCGGCGGGCGCGGCCAGGCCCAGGCAGAGGCGCGGAGCCAGTTAGAGACGCGGGGACGGGGGGGTGGGGGCCTGGGGGAGGGTTAGAGACCCGGGCCCGAGGGGCGGGGCCGCCCGAGAGACCGGAACGCGAGAGAGGAAGGGAAAAGAGCCGCGGACTGAGAATGGAAGGAGGCGGAGCAGCGGGCCCAGGACCGGGAAGCCCAGCAAGAAGCCGGGGCGCGGGCTGCGCCCCCGAGCGGCGGGACGGAGATTGTGGGGGGCGGAGGGCGGGGGCTGCGAGCCCCGAGGAGGCGCCGCCGGCGGGAATGGGGCGCGGCCCGGAGGCCCCTCGGCCCTCCCAGCGGTTCCCACACCCCGCAGGGCTGGACTCAGGGAGCCCTCCCCGGCCCTCAGCCGTGCTGGGACCTTGGGCGCGTCACCCCCGCCCCCGCGACCCCACCACGCGGTGCTGAAGGGCTTTCCCACGGGACGGCGCGGGGGTGGGGCGGCAGCCGCCCTGCAGGTGGGGAGCCCCGTCTCGCGGCCGGGAAGGGACTTGGCCCGGGTCACGGGGGGTAGGCCGCGGAGTTGGACGCCCACCCCCGCGGGGGCTCAGGGTCGGTGTGGACGCGAGCCTGAAACACAGAAATGTGAGTCCCACCCCGCTCCTGCTCGTTACCCCAGCGCGGAGACGCCCCGCCCCCCCCCCCCGTGGCGTGCTGTTCCCACCTCTTAAAAAAAACTCCATTCCTCTCCCTCTCCCCACCTTTGCAGCACGCCCGCCCCCCAGAAACCCCACTCCACTTCTCCGTTCTGGGGTCGGCAGGCCCCAAACTCCATCTTTCCAGACCCCTCTGTTTCCCTCACAACCACATCCAAAGTCTCAGCAATCCGTGTACGTTCCACCCCTAAAATCTCTCCAGGATCTAAACTTTTGGCCCCCGCTGCCCCCTGTGCTGGCCACCACGACAGCGACTTGACTGCTTCTCTGCCTCCTGCAGTCAGTCTGCCCCCCACCTGCAGCCAGAAGGAACCTATGAACCCCTGAGTTAGGTCAGGGCCCTCCTGCCTCCCAGCCCTCAGGTGGCTCCATCTCAATCCAGGTAAAAGCCAAGTCCTCACCTACTTGGTCCAGGGGGCTCTAGTGTGGCCCTCGTCCCCATTCTGGCTTCCCCTCCTCCCTGTCCCCTTTTTGCATTCCCTTGGGCCGCCCAGCCTCCCTGCTGTTCCTCTAACTCACCAGACACATTCCCGCCCCAGGGACTTTGAGCTTGGGGTTCCCTCTGCATAGAAGTCCTCTCGGGCCTTAGAGAGGCCCTCGTGCCATCATCTCCCTCTCCCTCACAGTTCTCTGGTCTCCCTACAGATGACCCTTGAACAACATGGGTTTGAACTGTGTGGGTCCATTTATACACGGATTTTTTTTTAACAATTCAGTACTGCACATGTATTTTGTCTTCCGTATGATTTTCTTAGAAACATTTTCTTTTCTCTGGCTTACTTTATTGTGTATAATACAGAGAACATACAAAATATGTGTTAACACATATTTAGGTTTAACACACGTTTATGTTATAGGTAAGCTTTCCGGCCAACAGTAGGCTAATAGTTTATTTTTTATTTTTTTATTTTTTTATTTTTAACAGCGAAGGTTAGAGTCAAAAGTCACACTTGGATTTCTGACTGCGTGGGGGGGGGGGGTCCGTGCCTCCTAACCCCCACATCGCTCAAGGGTCAACTGTACTTCTCTTTGCCTGTTTCCTGTTTTGAAATACTTATAGAATTTTAATTAGAGAATATTTCTTTCAAACAGGAAAGTAAGAAAATGGTCAGCCCCATCACCCATATCCAACAGATGTGGACGTTTCACCATTTTCATTTCAGATCTTTTTTTTTTCTTTCTTTTTTAAAACAAACTTTTACAGGCACAAAGGCCCAACTCCCCGTCCCTCCTCTCTCCGCTCCTGCCCCCAAGATACCCACCGCCCTGAAGCCGGTGTGTGTGCCTGCTGTGCACTTTTCCATTCAGGATGCAGCCGCCACAATATACCCTATTGTGGGATGCCTTTTAAAAGATACACAATTAGGCTCCTACTGTATCATTTTGCGACTTATGTTTCTCCATCATCATTATTTGCTGAGGCTTCTCCACTCTGATATACAGAGCCCTATTTCATAAACCTTAACTCTTATCTGGTGTCCATTGTTGGAAGAAACCCTGGACCTGGATATTTCTATTCAGGGCTAGTATGATTCTTTCTTTCCCCCTGCAGCCTCGAACCTTCGACTCCTGTCTCCTTGTGCCAGAGGCAGCATTTCTTTGCAGAAGTTTTGCTTACATGTTGTTTTGGGGGTTTTTAGAAATTTTAATTATTTATTCATGAGAGACACAGAGAGAGAGGGGGGGGGAGGCAGAGACACAGGCAGAGGGAGAAGCAGGACAGGGAGCCTGGTGCAGGACTCGATCCCGGGACCCCAGGATCACGTGCTGAGCCAAAGGCAGATGCTCAACCTCTGAGCTGCCCAAGTGTCCCCATTTCTTTGTTCTTTTTTCTTTCTTTCTTTCTTTCTTTCTTTCTTTCTTTCTTTCTTCTTTCTTTCTTCTTCTTTCTTTCTTTCTTTTTCTTTTATCCCTTTTTTTCTTTCCATGAACTGCAGCAAGACGTACCTTCTACACTGGCCTCTAGTACAATATATGTAATATACATGTGACATGCAGAAATATACGTAATGTCACAAAAGTCAGGAAACCACCCTTATTCACTACCTCATACACTGTATTTTCAATTCTATCCTTTTTCTGTTTGGAAAAAGTGCTGATCGCAACACACTACTTTGGTTTCATGGCCCTTAAAGGGTCACGATGCAGTCTGTAAACCACTGGGTGTGCCCAAGGGGTGTCCTCCTCCCCCCTAAGGAGGCCTTGCTCAGGAGAGCAGAGAGCTCGGAGCCACTTGTCCCAGTGCACGTTCCCAGTTGCCTCTTTCTCCTTCTGCGTCTCCTTCACAACTGCCCATCAGGCCCCACTGCAGCTGCCCTCCAGCTCCCACACCTGGACGGCGTCAGCCACCCTCGAGCATGAGTCCCTAGAGAGAGCACCTCATTTTTTGTCCCGACCCCCGGCTGACCTGTCCCGGGGTCGACTCTCCGGGTCTGGGGTCCTCGGCAGCTGTAGGCGCTGGGGGGTTGGGGTGCCAGGGGGTGACTCTTCGTCACTGCATGGTGTTATGTGAATGGAGGGCACCTCCAGAAGCCTCCAGGGCTCAGGGGCCAGGCTGTCCGCCCTGCGACCCTGTGGGGGCTGGCTCTGCCACTCGGCTGGGGGCCCTGATGCACCCAGGTCGTCCCCCTCGGCTGATGGGGGCCAAGGTAGCTGGGGCAGGAGCTGGGCCATGGGGGGGTGGGCTCCACCTGCTGGTCCGGGGCCTTGGATAACGGCACAGTCTCTGGGGGAGAAAAAGAGAGGTGAAGGGGGAGGCCCCCCTCCAGCCCCGCCCCTCACCACGCCCCCCCCACTCCCCTGAGGGTCAGGGCCATCTGGTCCCCTTGTGTCCCTGACTGAGACTCAGTTTCCTCTCCTGGAAACTGGGGATCCTAGTGCCCATGTCCTCCAGCGACTGGGTGGTGTCAGAGCGCCCTGGCAGGTGGGGGGCCCAGCCCAGCGCCCGCACATGCTAAGTGCTCGGGAACAGATCACGCCCCTGGGTTGGGGGTTCGTCTGAGCCCTCACGATGGGGCCAGGCCCTGGGGTTCCTGCACACCAGCGGCCCTCGCTCCCTTCCACACACACCAGGCCAGGAAGGAGCCAGGCCTGAGGGGCCCCGGGGAGACGGTCCGGGATTTCCCTTCCCTGTTTGCCCAGCAATCGCCTCTCCCAAAGCAAACAGAGGGAGGGTGGCCGCTGGGGCCTCCTCAGCTGGGAGGAAGCCAGGCTCGTTCTCCACCGCGGCCGTCATATTACAGGCCACCTGGGTCTGGGGACATCAAATCAGTGTCTGTCCACACAGCAGAACGCAGAAAGGGCTGCCCAGGGAATAGGGAAGGGGGACCCGGGGGACCCAGAGAGGGCTTCCCCCGGCTTGCGGAAGGGACCCTGACCCTGACCGGCCAGGCCCGGGCCGGGGCCCCAGGCTCCAGGCTCCTTCCCAGGCACCCCAACATCCATACCTTATGGTTTCCTCTGCCTTCTGTCTCTACAGGGTTTGGACTTCCAGGGTAAGGGCAGGAGACCAGGCCCGTCCCTGCCCCCAGGAGTCCTGGCTGGACCAAAGAGTCACAACCTTGCGGCCAGAATAGCATGTCCGGCTGGAGTCGTGTTCCCCTCTGACCAGCTGTTCCTGGGAGAAGAGATGGAGTGGGGGTGGGGGCACCCACACCGCATGGGAGGCTGAAGTCAGCCCTCTTGCCTTGTCCCCTCTTGACCACCCTAGGTCTCTACTGGTCCATCTGTCCTGTTGCTCAGCCTCCAGCCACGATGCAGCTTCTGTCCGTCCCCACCATTCCCCCAGAACTACTCCTCCAAGCCCAGGGTCACCCCCAAGTGACCAAACCTGGGACGCTTTCTAGTCCTCCTCGTCCTTCCCTGCTCCTAGAAGCCACAACCTGGGAGACCCATCTTCCTTCTGGGAGGTTCTCTCTGCCTCTGAGATGCCTCAGTTTCTGGCTCTCTCCCCACCCCACTGGCAGCACCAGCTCAGCTTTCTGTGTGCAACTCTCTCCCCTACTTGGTCTGTGGGAACTGGTAACCCCATGGCTTAGGTCTGGGCACTTTTCTCTTACTTTCCCATTTTTATCACATAATGATTGACACATACTAAAA